GAAATCAGAAAAAGAATAAACAATCCCCCCACACTATACTAGATTAATGATCTGATATGCTAATTGATTCTAATGAGTTATTGTTAATATTATTATAATATTTAACATTTGTTAATATTTAAAAATGTCTGTGCATGCCATTTAAAAGGCAACTCAAAAATTCCCAAATGACTTACATAAAAATTCCACTCAAGACTTTGATTTTTTGCATTATGGTAGAGTAGATATTCTAAAAAACTCCCAGTATCAAACCCCGAACAATGCTTAAAGCATTAAAAAGGGGGCGGGTGAGGGGAAAATAGAAAAATGAAAAATAAAAACAGAAAAATAGAAAAATGAAAAATAAAAACAAGCAGAATTCAAAGAGAAAAGCAAATGATGCAGTGTGATGATGATCTTTTTTATGTGTCGACCTGGCTAGCCTTTAGTCCCCAGTCATTCAAACACTAATCTGGGTGTTGCTGTGAAGATATTTTGTAGGTATAATTAAAGTCCATAATCGTTTGACTTTTGGTAAAGAAGATTATTCTTGATAATCTGGTAAGCCTGATTCAATCGAAAGACCTTAAGAACAGAGCCAAGGCTTCGCAGAAGAAAAAATTCTGCCTGTGGACAGCTGCTTCGGCCTCTGCTTGAGAGTTGCAGCCTACCCTTCCTGGAGGGCTGCCCATGGATTTGGGATTTGCCTATCTGGCCCCCACTATTGTGTCAACCAATTTCTTGCAGTAAATCTCTATATACATTTCTTACTGGTTCTGCTTCTCTGACTAAACACAGATTGATGCATGAAGCTAGCGGCTATCTGGGGCATCTGCTCCTCCCTACTTTTGCTCTGAAGAAGAGGCGACTTTAGGACCCATGTAAGTGAAAAGTCATATTAGAGCCTAAGTGAAAAAGTGAAGCAGAAAACAAAGAAACAAGTAAGCAAACCTAAACTTGGCTCTCTGGACTTCAACTCTAGGTACAGTGGAGAAAACTATTCATGGAAAATTTATAGCCATAAGCCACGTTGGGGCCCAACTTCACAAGAGAATGAATACATGTAATTTCAACACAGAGAGATACTATTTTATATCCACCAGATTGGTAAAATTTAAAGTGAGAATACCAAGTACTAGACAGAATATGGACCAATGGGGACTCTCATTCATTGTTCCTGAATGTCAGCTTTGGAAAGCAATTTTGCATCGTCCGGTAAAGTCATAGATGTATATATCCTATGGGATATTGGCTGCATTCCACTACTAGGTATATACCCTTGAAAACCCTATGAACCTGTGCTCTAAGAAACATGCGCGAGAATGGTCTTTGCAACGTAATGTATAATAGCCTCAAACTCCAGGGAATTCAGATCCACTCATAGGAGACTAGATCAAGTGGAAGTCACATAATGGAGTACTACAACAGAGAAAATGAATAAATTATAGCTACATGTCCTGGTACAAACACAGAGTAACACAGAGTGACAAAAAGTAAAAAATATCCAATACATTCATTAAGACTCTATTTCTGCTCACTGTCTTACCGTATATTACAAAGATAAAGCCAGGATTGGATCTCTACTTACCCATGTCCTATTATCCAGGCTGCCAGCTCTTCAGATCAAGAACTATATCCTATTCACAATTGTACCCACGGAACTTAGGAGAGCACCAGGCTTATAGAAGACACCCAACAGATATTCGTTGAATAAAAGAATAAGTTTTGAACACAAAGATAGCTTCCAGGAACCAGACCCTGTGTTTCTAGCCAACAGTTCTGTTGCATGAAAACCCAAACTCTGACCTTACCTACCTGGACCCCTTTCTGCCACAGAAACAGCTGACCCTGCCACTACTGTCACCTGACCTATCTGACTAGTGTTAACTCTTCTTCACCAGCCTCCTAAAATCAGAGTTCCCCCAGATACTTCCATCTAATAGCCATTCAAGTCCCAGTGTGATATGTTCTTGCCAAGAGAGAGGGAGAGAGGGAGAGGGAGAGAGAGGGAGAGAGAGGGAGAGGGAGAGGGAGAGGGAGAGGGGAGGAGAGCGAGAGAGAGAGAGAGAGAGAGAGAGAGAAAGGAGCTTGTCATTGTCAATAAAATGAGGTTCTGAAATTAGATCTAGATTTAATTCAGGCAAGACGTATTTTTCCACCATTTAACACAGATTTTAGAATATTGGAGAAAACAAGAACTTTGTTACGGCTTGGGAAATATAAGGCTCAGAAAAGCAAACAAAACTAGCATACAGATTAAGAAATTTTAGTTCAAACTGATCAAATCAATAACAAAATGGCATCACAATAAAGATTTGAAAGAAAACTTACATTAGGCCATATTGTTAAGGGATTTATTGTGAAATTTCTGGGTACCTTTCTATGTGAGGAATAACAATAATTGAAGGGACATATTTTAAGGGAGAATAATTGATACATTTTCTCTCCTGAAGTACTAGAATACTTTTAAAGTAAATCTTTTTTTTAGCACCAAGGGTGGTCCTGCTTTGAACATTACAAAGACAGAAAGCTTTACACAAGTAAAGGTGATCTTTCTTGATATAATTACAGTAATTTAATATTGTAATATCAACTAACCTAAGCATGAAGTGTACCTTAGTGATGGCTAATGACATGGCTACTGCCAGTTAATGCCATCATCTCTGCAGGATAATGTGGTGAATGAACACTGCAATTACCTGGCCCAGAGAGATCAAGTACATCGCAAATTACTGAGTTTTTCAAATTGCAAATGTCATGTATACTTTAAGAATATTTACAAACACGTTAGATTATTCTTGAAGTTCTAGCTATCATGAATTATGCTTACTGTCTTAGGGAGATGGCCACATACAACTGCCACTTCCTCAACGTCTAGAAAATGCACATTTCTTTTTTCTTTTTATTAACATTAGGTAGACTACTGGCTAGTATAGTCTACTTTCATTTCTGTGGCTATGAATCACTCTTGGTTTCATTTCAATGACGTACTGAATTTCTACTTGTCCCTAACACCATGTTACATACTGTTTGAGGATGGAGTTTCTACCTGAATGGGGCTTTTGAGATAGCTGATAAAACAAAATTCATATTTAAGTAAAAATGAAAGAATAAACATGAAGGAATATAAAACCCGAGGTATAATGAAACCTTGACTTCTGAGCTTGTCTGTATTCTGAATATCAACTACCTAGAAGGTTTTTACTCCCTTCTCTGAGCTAAAATTGTTTCTTTGGTGAAAGAAGGAGACTTCGTTAGGCACTCTCCAAGGTCTTTCCAACAGAGCTGTTCAATTATTCCGCAGTTGTAAGAAAGTATTGAGAGTATCTTTTAGAAGATGTGTGTGGAGAAACTTACAATGCAAAGATTTTTTTTCCAAGGTGGGATTAATCAGAGAAGGTTTCATAGAAATAGTAAGTCTTATGGTTGGCCTAGAAGCACAATGACACGGTATGACAAGCACTGTAATTGTCATGCTGTGTGTGACCTAATGGAGGCATGACATTTGTAAACCCTACTTTTTTCCTATCCATCATTTCTGCCTTATGACTAAATGCATGCCATCCTCAATTCATTATTAATCAACTCTATCTCAACAGGGAAGTTATAAGGGAGACAGGTGTTCGTGGTGAGTGGATAAGGAATGGCCTAACTCATTTCACAGAGCAACTAAGCCAACAGGAACAAGTATCCAGTCGAATTCGCTCATGGCCTTGGTAACTCTCTCCACCATACTGATGAGCTAGTGATCTAAAAAAATATTGAACACACACCAAAGTATTATCCATCATCCAATTGGTACCTTTAACAATCAAATCAGCCAGACAATATGTCTCTTCCCTTCTTTCTCTTGGTGCTTGCTAGAAGGAGTTTTAGATGGAAAGTTACCTAATTTAGGACAAAGTTGCAACAGCTTACTAAAGTTAAAAAAATGTAAGCAGCTGTCCATCCCTGTGCACACAAAACATTACAGACTTAAAACGTTCTTGTTTACACATTCTGCTAAGATTACAGAAGCAACTCCCAGGAAAGTGAAATCTGTCACAGGGCCTGGGCGATGTCTGGTGGTGAGAAGTTAAACCCGTGTCATTTTGTTGTTCCTTCATTCTCCCACTTGCAAAGCTCAACTTCTGAGTCCCCTCGAACCCCCATCAGAATCCTCCTTCCCTGATGCCTTCATCACCTATCTATTTTCCTTTGGAAGTCCATGGTTTCTAAATCCTTAAGACATATAAATAATATTATGAATTCCTTTTACTAACTGTTCCCTTGGCCCCTTATTTTTTTTTTTAATCTCTGAAGAAAGGAGGAGCTATTCAAGATTTAAGAAAATGTCCCAATTTCCAATGGCTCTTTATTCATAGACTATTATCTTCTACACTTTAAAAAGAATGTGGGAGTTGCAAAGAAAGAACTTGGATCAATTTATCTCTGAAAACTACCTGAAACTGTTTAGTACAAGGCAGAGAGAAGCAGTTCAGTTCATTCCAGGGGCTTACGAACAGGAAACGCACCTCAGTGAACCAGAAGCAACACAGCCAAAGAAACTTAGCTGAATTCATCATCTGAAATGTGTTGACATTTTTTTCAGTTTCTCTTCACACATCGTCAGCATCATCAAACATTTAAATCTGCCTTTCATATGCAGATATGACAAGCTGTCTGATAATATTCCACACTAACGTATTATAGCATTGCTGATACTGAAAATCATTTTCTTTAAATGATCTTCATCTAAAGGGTTCAGAAAAGTTCTTTTTCTTTTTTACCAATTCACCACTATGAATATCATATGAGTATCATCAATTAACGTGGCAAGGATGTAAGAGATGCCTTTTTCCTTTCCAATTAAGAATATGAAGAAACTCGATTATAGAGAAGTGAAATGATTTATACGGGGGTGCATACTTTCTGGCAATGGAATGGAGAGGAGATAACAGATTTGAATGAGAACAGACCATGTTGGAATAAAACGATAATAGAACAAATAGAACCCAGTGAGGAGATTTAAGTCACAATACCCTTTAATCCGCAGGTTGGCTCCTTCAGGTCCGGGACTCTCTGCCTCTGCTTCTTGTAAACGACGTGTGGGTGGTACTCTCCCTCAACCAGGGGATGCTTTTTGACAGGCTCAATAAAAAAGTCTCCGTGCGGTAGACGGAAAAATCCAGTCTGTAAACATATGCAACGCAAAGGTTTATTTGAATCAATTCTCTATCTTTGCAAAGAAAATTAGTACAGTGAAAATTATGTAAATCATGATGATCCCTGAAACTCGTCAGGCAAGTGCTTTCATAGTCTGCCATCTGATCTCACAGAAGAGCTATACGTAAGTGATTTAATGAAATGTCTTCATAGACAGTAAATGTTTTGGGATCAGAGATCCTTTTGAGACTCTAATGAAAAGTGTACATACACACATCTATCCAAAATGTAACATACAGTGTTGTGGGTTCATGGATCCTCCTCTAAAACCCATAGCTGAATAGCTATGAATCTTAAATTAAGAGCCAGTTCTTTCTGGTTGTCCTACTATGGAGTTGGAACCTGTACTTCGTATTCCACTGACGGCTCTGTGGACCATTTATCTGAACGTGAGTAGTCCAGCTACATGTTCACACAGTGTTTAATGCCACTCTGCTCTCAAGAAAACAAAGAAATATAACCCTAAGTCCCTGATCTGAGACTGAGTTTCCAGGTGTCTGCAGTGGAAAGCCCTATCAGTTTCTAGGGAAATGCGGTCACTCTCATTTCAAAGATATGGGAACTCATAGTATGCTAGAGAATGCTGGTCACTGAGTAACTCTTTTTGGAAGTCACATCTAAAAGTGTTATGTCCTACAACTCTCTATTTTCTTTAGGAAAATTCCTTAGTGCCCACTTGAGATGCTTAGGAAACTCCTTTGCTATTGTCTCTTAGGGTGGACTTAATTCTCTGGATCTGAATTCTATATCGAAGACTAAGAGAGCTTGCCCTAAACAATCTGCTTGAGGCATCACATTGAGGTGATCAGGAGCTCAGCCTCTAGAATTAAAACAGGTTCAAATCTCAACTCTTCCACTCATTAGCTCTATGATCTTAGGCAAAGGCTTGCTCAGTTTCTGCTTTCTCAACTGAAAAGTGGGGATAGTCAAGAGTTGCTACAAAGATTATGTTTTCATATAGGCAAAGCTCTCAGAAAAGGGCCTGATACATAGTCTTACCACCATAGGCTCTTTCCAGATCTCAGATTTTATGTCATTTCATTGTATCAGTGTCTCCAGAGTCAATATAGCAGTCCAATGAATATTAAGTTTGCAAAAATAAACCTGGAAACATTGGGGCTTGGAGAAATTATAAAAGGTTTCCAAAGTTCAAGCTCTCCCCATCCCATACATCAGCAAGCCAGGTTGCTCTGCTCTGTGGATGAGACTGGAGAAGAGCTGAGCGGCCCCTAGTCAGGAGGCCCTTGACTTTGGTGTCTTTCCAAAACGTTTCCTTCACTACACCAGTAATATAACTAGATCTTAATATAAATCTCATAATTGACTTCCTATTTTGATTACTGACCTTAAAATATCTTTAATAATGAGGAGAACAGAAAAATAGGAACGCTTTACTGGGAGTCATAAGAATAGCTGTGTGACCTTGAACTGGTGGTCCAGCCTATAAAATGGGGGTAATACCTACTACCTCAAAGCTGTTAGGAGAATCAAGTGAGCTGCAGTTTGTAAAAGTGCCATGAAAACTGCTTTGCAAATGCAGGGTGATAATATTTTAACTACCAACTCTAATAGTGGTAATATCTGACTTCAAATTTGCTGACATTTCTTGGGAGACATGACATTTTTTCTCAGTATCATTCTCTGAGGACAAGCCTCTGGGACAGGAAGAACCAACAAGGTCCAGATTGCAATAAAATAGCTAGAAAGAGACTTGTGCAGTGCTGAAATTTGGTTCCATTTCTACTCTGAGACGAAGACCAGGGACATGAGAAGAAAGTAGGCTTGTTGCTAATGAAGCTCATTGGTTCCATAGAAGCAAAGTAGAAGTCAAGGACACCTCAAGGTTAGCTGGTTTGAGGTCCCTTTGTGGAACTGCTATCAACCTAATATTGATGTCTTTGAAAAAAAAAAATCACCAACAAGAGGGATTTATTGGTATTTCTTCGGCCTCAAATTTTGGACCCAGGTGATGCAGAAGAAACAGATGAGACTCCAGTTGAGAACATAATAACAATTTTATGAGCAACATGAATGAGAATGCCAAAA